TGTGGGCTTCCTAAAATTTGGAAATAACTCAGCCATTATTTCTTCTTCAATTATTCTTTCAGCTACCACTCCCACCTCATCCTCTCCTTCAGGGACTCTGAATACATATATATATTGCGTTGCTTGAAATTTTCCCATAATTCATTGATACACTGATCTTTTTTCATTCATTTTCTATCTGCATTTCATTTCGACTATTTCTATTGTTGTATCTTTAAATACACTAATATTTTCCTCTACAACTGGTAATCTATCTTTAATCAAAAATACAGTGCTTATTTCATCTCAGATATTGTAGTTTTCATTTCCACAAGTTTGATTTGGGTCCTTTTTATATTTCCCATGTCTCTACCTATTATGTTCAATCTTTCTGTACTTTATTGAGGATGTTAAATACATTTATAATGACCTTTTAAAATATTTATTCATTTATTTATTTGAGAGACAGAGTGTGGGGTGAGGGGCAGAGGAAGAGGGAAAAAGAGACTCTCAAGTAGACTCTGCGTCGAGCACGGAGCCCTACTGGTTCCATAACATATGACACCCCCCAGAAAGCTGATATCCTGACAAAGTAATGGAATTGCCTGCTGAGGAACAGCTGAAGCACCAACTCAAAGTAAATACTTTGTGAGGACAGAATGCTGTTCTCCAGAATACATTAAATTTATTGAATCAAACATTTTTACATGGTGCGTATCCTCAATTAGGATACATGGGTTCAGGAGCCAAGGAGTGGAAGCAGGAATGGCCACACTTATCATCACTTCCAATGACACATTTGGGGGACTTTATGTTTGCCATCCTTGCAATTCTGAACTTTCTAAGGTCAGAGGTGCTAGCCCTGAAGAGAGCTCACTCTAGCCCAGGGTTTCTCAACCTTGCCACTAACGACACTTGGGGCTAGATAATTCTTTGTTTGCAGGGGCTGTCCTGTACATTATAGGATATTTAACAGCAACCCTGGCTAGACGCCAGTAGCACACTCTTCCCAGCTATGATGAATAAAAATGTCTCCAGATATTTCCAAATGTTCTCTGGGAGACTGAAGTGCCCCAAGTTGAGAATCACTGCTCTATCCAACAGAGGGGGGAAAAAGGTTCATATTGAACTATAATTTGTGGCTGCCACCTCGGCATTTTGATCTCCTTGTGTCCAGGGTCCAGCAGGCAAGAAGAGGAGTCACCATTTTAACTTGGTCAATTGACCCTGACTATCAGGAGATAGGGCTACTACTGTACAATGGGAACAGGGAAGAATGATTGGAGGATCAAGTAGTTCCTAAGCAGAAGCAGCCGCTAGGTTGGATTACCATTCTGTCAGAGATCTGTCCAGTAAGGAGAAAAGCCCAAATAGATACACACACTTGGTTACTTATATAGATAGCATAAGCAAGATCAGCACAGTGTCAGCTCCACACATCCCTAATCTCACAGGATGATACCTGAACCACAGGGGTCAGATAACAGATTGATAGAGCACTCTGTTGTGGAGGAACCAATTCTAGACTGCAGCTAAGAAGTGTTAGAGCCTTTATCTATATGCTAAGGAAGCCAAGGTAGATAGTCCATGCCTCACCGGAACCAGGGAGGTAGATAAGAACCTGATCTGTGGCATCCTCCTGCAAGATAGGGAAGCTTACGAGAAATAGCCTTGCGACAGCTCCTCAGAAGATTGCTATCTTGCCATGTTCCTGGGAGGATCACAGGGTGTTCTGCCAAGACTTAGGTCAAAACAATTGAGCCTTGCCTATGTGGCCTACACAGATATATGAAGGTTGCCAGGGTGCCATCGTTCATCCATTTCCCTACAGGTACGTGTGTGGAACCCAGGTGATTCACTTGACTATTTCTAGGTACTACCTTTCCCAGTTATGATTATAAATGGACAGGTACATCAACTTTGAACTAAGAAGGACGTGGTGAGGAGATTGAGGCCACTCAAGGACAAAGGTCTGGGTCACACCCCTAGGTAAGCCACTGAGAAAAGAGAGGTGGTAACTGGGGGTGAATGGAATTTAAAATGGATAGTAGAGGAAGGAGATTATGACTATCAGTTGTGAACCCAAGACCAACGTCTCTAGTGCTGCCTGTGTTTGTAACACTGACCTCCCTCTTCTGAGTTTCCCCTCAGGAAGAAAGACCTTATAGAGTCCTGTAGAATCTGCCCCCCAAATATATAGAAAGAAATGTATCCCAGTGGCATGAGTAGTATATTGTGGTAAACAAAGACATATACTACCTAGCTGCCTCTTTGAGGAAAAAGTTGCTGCTCAGCTCTGGGAAGGGCAGTCAGCAGACCCTAGGTAGCTGTCAGCGTTTTCAGGGTGTGCCTCAGCTGCAGTCTCTCTTTGTCCAAGTCATACTCTTCCTGTGGCAGCCCACATCTAGTAACTGAGTGAATTTGACATGGGGCCATGCTGATTGGCAATATTCATTCCAAAGTCCTTTGCTGGATCACCAAAGTCTTTGTTTGGGCTATATCACATTTCAGTTTCTCCACTGGCCCAATCCTACTTCATCCGCCTTTCGTGGGTGTTGATCCCTGACAAACACCTAACTCCATTTCAGCATCTGTTTCTGGAGAACCCAAACTGGAACACCAATGATGATGTTTAGATCCAGGTTTAGAAGAAACAATATATCTTGATATGTCAAAATATACTCTAAATTGACATTTTTCTGGCATAAAGTTGTTCATAATATTTCCTTATAAGCCTTTTAATGTCTGTATGAATCTAGTGATGTACTGTCTCTCATTCCTTATATTGGTAATTTGTGTCTTTTCACTTTTTTCCCCCTAATGAGTCGGCCTGGAGGTTCATCAATTTCATTGATTTCCTTAAAGACCAGCTTTAGATTTCACTGATTTTCCTCTATTGTTTTACTGTTTTCTACCTCATTGATATATGTTCTGATTTTTAAAAATTATTTTGCATTTAATTAGCTCTTATATTTTTGGTTCTTAAAGTGGAAACTCAGGTCATTGAATTGGACCTTTCTTCTTTTCTAATATAAGATTTAGTTCTATAAATTTCCAAGTATGTTTAGATCTAAACAATACATTTAAAGATGTTTAAATTTTCCTCTAAGTGAGCTTATGCTTTAGCTACACCTCGATAATTCTGATATATTATGCTTTTATTTTATTTTGTTTTATTTTTTTTAAAGATTTTATTTATTTGAGAGAGAGAGAATGAGAGAGCGAGAAAGCACATGAGTGGGGGGGAGGGTCAGAGGGAGAAGCAGACTCACTGCCAAGCAGGGAGCCCAATGCGGGACTCGATCCAGGGAACTCCAGGATCATGACCTGAGCCGAAGGCAGTCGCTTAACCAACTGAGCCACCCAGGCGCCCGCTTTTATTTTATTTTAAAGATTTTATTTGTTTATTTGATAGAGAGACAAAGAGAGCGCACAAGTAGGCAGAGCGGCAGGCAGAGGGAGGGGGAGAAGCAGACTCCCCCTGAGCAGGGAGCCCGATGCAGGGCTTGATCCCAGGACCCGGGGATCATGACCTGAGCCAAAGGCAGCCGCTTAACCAACAGAGCCATTCAGGTGCCCCTATTGTGCTTTTATTTTAATTCCCTTCAAAACACTTTGTAATTTCCCATTTTATTTCTTCTTTAGCTCATGAAATATTTAGAAGTAATATTATTTAGTTTCCAAATATTTGGGGATTTACAGATATCTTTCTGTTATTGATTTCTTTTTTTTTTTTTAAGATTTTATTTATTTATTTGAGAGAGAGAGAGAGAGAAACAGCATGAGAGGGGAGAAGGTCAGAGGGAGAAGCAGGCTCCCCGCTGAGCCGGGAGCCCGATGCGGGACTCGATCCCGGGACTCCGGGATCATGACCTGAGCCGAAGGCAGTCGCTTAACCAACTGAGCCACCCAGGCGCCCCTCTGTTATTGATTTCTAATTTAATTTTCCATTGAGGTAATACAACATACTTCATATCATCTAAATGATTCTAAATATATCGACTTGTTTTATAAGTCAGAATATTGTTTATCTTGGTAAATGATCACCTGAAATATGTATTCTGATGTTTGTGGGAATAGTGTTCTATAAATATCAATTAAGTCAAGTTGATTGACCATATTTTTTTTAATTGATCATTCCTTTCAAGTCTTGTGTTTGCTGTTCTGCTATCTACTTTGTTTGAAATTAAAGCCACCATTTCAGCTTTATTTCCATTAGTATTAGCAGGATGTATTTTTTTTCTATTCTTATACTTTAGCCTATTTGTGTCTTTATAACTAAGGTGCGTTTATTGTAGACCACACATATTTGGGTCTTGGGTTTTTTCTTATCCTGACAATCTCTACCATTTACTTGAGTTGTTTAGACTGTTTATAAATAACATTATTTATATGAGTTGTATTTAGATCTACCCTCTTGCTCTTCGTTTTCTGTTGGTCTTGTTTGTTCATTGTTCCCCTTTCTTCTTCTTTTCTGCCTTCTATTTGAATTAATTGGGTTTTAAAAATGATTCCACTTTATCCCCTTTGATTTATTAGCTATATTGCTTGGTTTATTTGGGGTTTTTTTTAGACCTTGCTTTAGGGTTCATAGTAGATATTTTTAATATATCATTGTCTACCTTGAAGTCATATTATACCACTTCTTATATAGTATAGGAAATTTACAATATACTTCCATTTTCATCTTTGTGCTATCATCATATATTTTTCTACATATATTATAAACACCACACTACATTGCTATTGTTAGCCTTAACCAATTACCTTTCTTTTTTGCAACATGATTTTTAATAACCAAATAGTATCATGTACTAATCATAGTATGATGCATCAAAATGTATTTAACCAATTCCAAATTGTGTATTCAAATTGTTACCACAGCCTCGGTTGGCCTCGGATAGCCGGTCCTCCGCCGTCCCCGCTGGCGTGCCCCGCCGCACGTGGGGACCAGGGTCCGGTGCGGAGAGCCCCTCCTCCCAGGAAACAGGGCGCGGCCGGAAAAGGGGCCGCCCCCTCACCCGTCACGCAACGCACGTTCGTGGGGAACCTGGTGCCAAACCATTCGTAGACGACCTGCTTCTGGGTCAGCGGTTTCGTACGTAGCAGAGCAGCTCCCTCGCTGCGATCTATTGAATGTCAGCCCTTGACACAAGGGTTTGTAATTATGAAAAAATTAAAAATAATAATAAAGTTGTTACCACACAAATTATATAGCAATAAACAGTCTTGCGCAAAAATCTCTTTGCACATTTCTGATTATTTCTTTAGGATAGTTTTTTATTGTGGTAAAAAAATACACATAACATAAAATTTACATCTTAACCATTTTTGGGGTCGCCTGGGTGGCTCAGTCAGTTAAGCATTTGCCTTGGCTCAGGTCAGGATCCCAGGGTTCTGGGATCGAACCCCATGTCAGGCTCTCTGCTCAGTGCGGAGCCTGCTTCTCCCTCTCCCTCTGCCTGCCACTCCCCCTGCTTGTGCTCTCTCTCTCAAATAAATAAATAAATAATCTTAAAAAAACCATCCTAACCATTTTTAAGTGTATAGTTCAGTATACTTCCAGCTCTGTCTGTGTTCCAATCCTTTTGTGTGGTTAATTCCTTAGCCTTGGGTAGTTTCCTCAGATGTACGTGCATATTAGTACTAGGGGGAACCCTCTGTAGGTCTGTGGAGTCCTCTGTCTATACACCTCTCCTATCTAGTACTCTGTCTTGCAAACTCTAGCTGCCATAGTCTCCCTAGATTCTCCACTCCACCTTCTCAGTTTTTCAGGTTCCACCTGGGTTCCCTCTCCTTATACCATGGCCTGGAAACTCACTCCAGACCGTATGCTACACAAACATGGGGTTCACCTCATTTCTCAGGGATCACTGTCCTTTATTACTTAATGGCCAATGACTTTAAAACTGTTATTTCATATCTTTGTTCATTTATTAAAGTTCTTTTTTCTGGTGGGAGAGTAAATCCAGTCCCTATTATGTCATCTTGGCCAGTAGTGGAAATCTACCTCCTTTTTTGTTAAATTTTACTTCAAAGTGTGTCAGTCAGGCTTCAGTCAAAGTAGTAGAACTACTGTGTGTGTGTGTGTGTGAGAGAGAGTGTGCGTGCACGCAGGTGCACATAGGTGTATGCATGTAATTTATAAGGGATTTGCTACAGAGATTTTCCTTATACAATTGTGGGAACTGGTTAAGGAATCTCTGTAAAGCTGTTATCTTTACATCTGATGCTGAAACTTGAAGTCCACAGTGTAGGAAATCAGGAAGGCAAGAAGGACATAAATGTAAAGTGGGAGAGAACACAACCACAAGCATGAGCTGACACCCCCAAGGATAGACCGAAACCTTTGTCAGTTCTTATTTCCTCTGACCTTGGAATGGGTATCCTGCAGAGGCCAAGACACTTCATCACAGAACTAAATTCACACACCTGGCCCAGGAGTCAAGGAGCCAAAGGAGGATCCAGCAGGAGGTAGAGAATTTCCAAGCCCAGCTGCTGCCTTGTGTCAATAAGGTGAATCAACAAAAAAAGCCACAATGTGTTCAAGCTACAAAATGGCCACCGCTTCACTTTTGTCCTCCAAATCATCCACAATAAACTCACTTGTGTCCCACCCTAACTGCAAACATAAAGGAAAGTGAGTTCCCCCAATGTTTATAGCAGCAATGTCCACAATAATCAAAATATGGAAAGAGCCCAAATAGATGTCCATTGACAGATGAATGGATAAAGAAGATGTGGTATACATATACAATGGAGTATTACCCAGCCATCAGAAAGAATGAAATCTTGCCATTTGCAATGACATAGATGGAACTAGAGGGTATTATGCTAAGTGAAATAAATCAGTCATAGAAAGACAAATATATGATTTCACTCATGTGGAATTTAAGAAAAAAAAACAGAGGATCATAGGGGAAGGGAAGGAAAAATAAAATAAGACAAAATCAGAGAGGGAGACAAACCATAAGAGACTCTTAATCTCAGGAAACAAACTGAGGGTTGCTGGAGGGGAGGTGGGTAGGGGGATGGGGTAACTGGGTGATGGGCATTAAGGAGGGCACTTGATGTAATGAGCACTGGGTGTTATATGCAACTGATGAATCACTAAACTCTACCCCTGAAACTAATAATACACTACATGTTAATTAAATTGAATTTTAAATAAAAATTTTCTTATATTTTTTCTTTTATTTTTTTATTATTATGTTCAATTAGCCAACATATAGTACATCATTAGTTTTTGATGTAGTGTTCAACAATTCATTAGTTGAAAAAAAATGTTTTAAGTAAAAAAAGAGAGTTCTGGGAAATGTAACTGAAAAGATGGAAGGAAGGAAGAAAGGAAGGAAGGAAGGAAGGAAGGAAGGAAGGAAGGAAGGAAACCAAGAAGGAAGGAAGGAAACCAGGAAGGAAGGAAGGAAGAGAGGGAGGGAGGAATCGGATACAGGGGAGGAAACAAAACAATGAAACAGAGGTCCACAGTTTGACCCAATTGAAGATCCAAACTTTACTAAAAGAATTTATAAAACAAAAAGATAAAAGTGTGCTGATTTGCTTTTGCACCTCTACAACATAGCTTCTGAATTAACTTTAGTATCTGCTGAAATGCATCAACTGGCAAAACTTGATGGCCTTAATACTTGGGCTCAAATTATAGTGATACCTGAGGATCCATCTAAATTTGAACTCAACTCCTATAACCATAGGGAAGTTACTGTAACATAAAATAGAGGGCAGTTATGCCTCATCTTAACTATCAGGACAATAGCCTTGCCTAAATTCCCTGGGATGGTAGCACCCATTGCCCTAAAATATCCCGTAATAAGGACACAGATGCTCTAACCCAATGGGTAATAAATTAAGATTATATCTTTGGCACTTACAAATTGGCTTTAAAAAATGAGACCACATGGACCTTCTCCCCTCCACATACCTGTTAAAAAGCTAATAAGGTCCAATGTAAATTTAAATAGGGCCTTCAAGGATTGAAACCCATTATACAACACCTCTTTAGAGAAAGAGTGATTGTTAACCACTACTCCTCCCTTTAACAATTCAATTTGACCTGTTCTTAAACTTGGAAAGAACAAATGCTGCCCCACAGTAGATTACTGCAGCCTTGGTGCTGTGGTCCCATTCATTAAGGGCCCCCATACTCAAAATTATTGAAATTACTGACTCTATCTGATCAGCAACTGGTAAATACTTTTCCATAATAGATTTGGCTCATATGCTCTGTTTAGTGTCTATTCTACCAGCAGTTTTCCTTTACCTCCTAATGGACATGATACCCCTTTATCTGGTTATCTGTGGAGTACCACAATAGCCTGGCCATCGCACACAGTCTTTGCAGACATAATCTTAACTGCATCTAGATTTTTCCAGGGGCACATGTATAGCATTATATTCATGACACCCTCCCCTGAGGATATTCATTTGGCACACTTATTCAGGGCATACGAATACTCATAAGGAAGCTCGGCAAAGTGGATGGGCCATTGCCTCACACATAGTGCAAGGCCCTGCCACCTCTGTAAATTGCTGAAAATTATTTGGTAAACCAAGGGCCCCTCTATCCTCACACTGTCAAGAAACAGCTATTGACTCAACTCCCACAATATTAAAACAAGCCTGGGCCCCTGGGTGGCTCAGTCGGTTAAGCATCTGCCTTCGGCTCAGGTCATGATCCCAGAGTCCCTCATCAGGCACCCTGCTCAGCGGGGAGTCTGCTTCTCCCTCTGCCCCTCCCCCCCGAGCCCCGCTCTCATGCGTGTGCACGTGTGCGCACATGCAAAAATAAAAATAAATAAAATCTTAAAAAAAAAAAAAAACAAGCCCAACATCTTTTAGGCCTTTTGGGTTCTGTAGGCAACATATTCCTCACTTACAAATTTTCCTTAAGCCCATTTCTGCAGTTATTTGTAAATCAGTCCACCTTGAATGGACCCCCTTCCAACAAGAGGCTCTAGATTCTATCAAAATTGCATTACAACACCCACTGTCATTAATGCCCCTCCACCAGACTCCTTTCATGGTAGAAGCTTTAGCAACCTTCTCTCATGCCTCTTGGAGTCTCTGGACCACCCATACTGGCCATAAGTTACCTATGGGCTTCTGGTGCAAAAAACTGTCCTCTGCAGCCCTATAGGATGCTATAGGAGAGGTAATTGCCGGCCACAATACTGGGCTTTCCTGGAAACAGAAGTTCCACAGGCTCTGAGCCCATGATCCTCTGTACCCAGCCGCCCACTATGCATTGGGTCATGGAAGCAGCACCCATAAGTTTGCCATGACCACAAAGGCCTCCTTTGCTACAGGATAGAGCCAAACCAAGGGGGCACCTGGGTGGCTCAGTCAGTTAAGCATCTGCTTTCGGCTCAGGTCATGATCTCAGGGTCTTGGGGTCGAGTCCCATATCGGGCTCCCTGCTCAGTGGGGAGTCTGCTTCTCCCTTTCACTCTCCCTCTGTATTCTCTCTCTCTCTCTCAAATAAATAAATAAATAAGATCTTTTGAGAGAGAGAGACACAGCGAGAGAGGGAACACAAGCAGGGGGAGTGGGAGAGGGAGAAGCAGGCTTCCCGCAGAACACGGAGCCTGATACGGGACTCGATCCCAGGACCCTGGGATCATGACCCGAGCCAAAGGCAGACGCTTAACGACTGAGCCACCCAGGCGCCCCATAAATAAATAAAATCTTAAAAAAAAAAAAAAAAAGAAAGAAAGAACCAAACCTAGGCCCCCTGGCATATCCCATTTACAGGAGGGGTGGCCTTCCCTGTCCTCAGTTTTTTGCCAGATGGCATGGGGCTAGAAGAAGCCACCCCTCTACCAGACCCCTTGGCTACCTGGGAAGCCCCTTGGGATCAACTGAGTGAACAGTGGGAGCTTGTACATTTTACAAATGATAATGTCCATCACATGTGAGAGAAGTTCACTGGAGAGCTATTGTTTTCATCCCTTAACAAGGACATTCCTGATAAAGGAAAAGACAGAAGAGAACACAATTGCCCAAATTTCAAGTCTGCATCTCAGAACTATTTTCCCTGGCCAAGAATCAGCCCCAACTGCA